TAACCTCAGATATGCAGATGACACCACCCTTGTGGCAGAAAGTGAAGAGGAACTAAAGAGCATCTTGAAACTGAAAGAGGAGAGTGAAAAAGTTGGCTTAAAACTCAACATTCAAACAATTAAGATCATGGCATCTGGTCCCATCACTTCATGGCAAATAGATGGGGAAACAATGGAAACTGTGACAGACTTTATTTTGGGGAGGCTCCAAAATCACTGCAGATGGTGACTGCAGGCATGAAATTAAAAGATGCTTGCTCCTTGGAAGAAAAGCTATGACCAACCTAGAAAGCATATTAAAAAGCGGAGGCATTACTTTGCCAGAAAGGTCCATCTAGTCAGAGCTATGGATTTTCCAGTGGTCATGTATGGATGTGAGAGTTGGACCATAAAGAAAGCTGAGCACCGAAGAATTGATGCTTTTGAACTATGGTGTTGGAGAAGACTCTTGAGAGCCCTTTGGACTGCAAGGAGATTCAACCAGTCCATCTTAAAGGAAATCAGTCCTGAATATTAATTGAAAGGACTGATGCTGAAGCTGAAACTGCAATACTTTGGCCACCTGATGCGAAGGACTCACTCACTGGAAAAGACTCTGATGCTGGGAAAGACTGAAGGCAGGAGGAGAAGGGGACGACAGAAGGATGAGATGGTTGGATGGCATCACTGAGTCGATGGACATGAGTTTGAGCTGGACTTTGAGCAGGAGTTGGTGATGGACAAGGAGGCATGGCGTGCTGCAGTCCATGGGGTCGCAAAGAGTCAGACACGACTGAGTAGCTGAACAGAACTGAACGTGCCTGATGAGATAGGAATATACAGCGCCGCTAGGAGGTATTCATGCCTGGAAAATGGAATCCGCACTAAGTGAGCCTCTGGGTCTGCCTCCTAGTTTACGGGAGACCTAGGGGACAGAGGAACAAGTTCAACAGCACCATAAGGAAGCAACCCACCAAGGTCAGAACGTGGGACATTCTACAGACCAAGAGTCCAGCTTCTCTAACAAATTACTAGGGGTGGGGGTGTAAATGATGGGGTAGGGAAGAGTAGTGCTAAAGAATAAAAGAGACTGAAAATACTCAGTACAAATTCAAGGCTGCTCCCTGGTGGTCCAGTGGTTAGGACTTGATGCTTTCACTGCCAAGGCCCAGGTTTGATACCTGGTCAGGGAACTAAGGCCCAGTAAGCCTTGAGGCACACCCCAGAAAAAGGAAACAAATTCAATATGAAGATCTTGTTTGGATCATGATTCTAACAAAACAATTTTAGGAGACACCTTTGAAAAACACAGAGGAAGTCTGAATGTGAAGTCAAATACTAGATACTAATAAGGAAATATTAATTTTGGTAGGTGTGATAATACCATGCTGATTATGTTTTTTTTTTAATCATTCAGTTAGAGTTGTGTATGGAATTTACAAGTAAAATTATATGATGTCTGAGATTTGCTTTTATAAAACATTCTCTCTCCCAAATATACTGGATGGCGGGAGGCGGTGGGGCATGGGGATATGTTAAATGAGTTTAGCAAAATGTCACTAATGATTGAAGCGGAGCTGTGGTACCTGGGGTACGTCATGGGATTCTCTCCACTTTTCTACATGCTTGAAAATACCCATAATATAAGATTTTATGGGGGATGAGGAGGAAGGAAAGAGCATATTTGATTAGTGCCAACAGAGCTCTGTGCTAAGCCCTCCCTAAATATATATACCTCACTTGAATACTTATTTACAAGTCCTGAGACAGCTGCCAACAAGCCTCTTTCTCAGTCTAAGGAGAGGCAGGGGCACTCCCTTCGCTGGATGCAAACAGGGTCAGCGATCAGAGGGAGCCACTGGCAACTGGAGATCACAAAGGGGGAACGTGGCCACAGGAGGGAGGCTGGAAATACCCCTTGGCAGAGAAACAACAGAGGAAACATGCTGCACTCAGATCCCTCCCACCATGCGCTGACTTACCCCTGCAGCAAAGCCAAGGCTTCCATCTAAGATCCGCCTCTGAAAATGAAAACAAGATGTTTCAGTTTCTAAGAAACGTTTCATGGGATAGGAGGCAATCATAAGCCTAAGAAAGGCACATGAATAAAGACAAGCCCAAGCCGGAGCTTGCAAATCTATCTGGAACCCTGGACCCGAGTCTTTACAAAATGAGCCAAGAGTCAGGGGAAAAAAAAATTTTTTTTAAACCTTCCACCCATTCCACAACCAATCGGAGCCTTCATTCAGCATGACCCTCGGCTTGCGCTGGTCCGTGTGTTTTACGTCTTTCTCAGCGCTCCCTGTGAACTACGGCCATAAACCTTGAGTAAGGAGCTGGTATAAAGTTGGAAATTGACAAGTACTCACAACGAGCACGTGGACCAACCAAAATCCTCCCGCGCTGCAGGAGGGCGTACAAGCTGGTCCAGCCACTTTGAAAAGTGAACCTTCATCAGCATGCCCTGCGACCCAGCAGTGAGGGCCATGTGTAATTACCAACAGAAACACGTACTCGGATTCAGCAGACTTGTGGGCAAAAATGCTTTTTATGGCACTACTTGTGAGAGCCGAGACCCAAAACTACCCAGAAGCCCACCAACAGCAAAATGGAGAGGTCACGAGCACGTACACACACAAACACCATGCAGAAATGGAAAGCACATACATACTGACTGGAGCTCATGATCAGGCATAGGCATTCGGTAAATGGGAAATCAGTGAACGGGAAAGTCACTCAGTCATGTCCAACTCTTTGTGACCCCATGGACTACAGTCCATGGGATTCTCCAGGTCAGAATACTGCAGTGGGTAGCCTTTCCCTTCTCCAGGGGATCTTCCCAACCCAGGGATCAAACCCAAGTCTACCGCATGGCAGGCAGATTCTTTACCAGCTGAGCCACAAGGGAAGCCCAAGAATACTGGAATCCATTGCCTATCCCGTCTCCAGCAGCTCTTCCCAACCCAGGAATCCAACCAGGGTCTCCTGCACTGCAGGCGGATTCTTTACCAGCTGAGCAATAAATAGGGTGAAATCAGCCAGACACAGAAGAGCATACACTACACAATACCCTCAACGAAACAGAGAAAACGAGACTCCCCTGTTGAGACCAGGAGAGGGGCTGCCCCTGGCGTGGAGTAGGCGGCTGGGGTGAAAGGGGCCCTGGAAGGGCTGCTGCAGGGGAGCTCAGGGGTGCAGTCGCTCAGTCGTGTCCAACTCTGTGTGACCCCAACGGACGGCAGCACGCCAGGCCTCCCCGTCCATCACCAACTCCTGGAGTCCACCCAAACTCATCTCCATTGACTCAGGGATGCCATCCAACCATCTCATCCTCTGTCGTCCCCTTCTTCTCCTGCCCCCAATCCCTCCCGCATCAGGATCTTTTCAAATGAGTCAGCTCTTCGCATCAGGTGGCCAAAGTATTGCAGTTTCAGCCTCAGCATCAGTCCTTCCAATGAACACCCAGGACTGATCTCCTTTAGGATGGACTGGTTGGATCTCCTTGCAGTCCAAGGGACTCTCAAGAGTCTTCTCCAACACCACAGTTCAAAAGCA